AGTAATTTTTAATTTTCAATTATAGAGAAATTTGGAAGACAATTTACTTGATATGACTAACACCTACTAAAGGGTCCACAATGTAACTCAATATCATGATGGATAACAAAATACAAAATCTACATTGTATTATGTCAAACAAATTTGTGTTAAAAGTAGCTTAATTATTAGAATATGAATAAATATGGAGAAGAGAAAGGAAATAAAAACCATGGTATTGGCACTGGCGAAGGAGGGCTTGTGAGATGAAAAGGCAAGTGGAGCTGCCGTCGACAAGTAGTACACGAATCATGGCTTCCTCATCCCCCATATCTTTTTTTTTTTCTTTCTCTCGGAAGAAAATGATATTAGAAGTGCTATGAAGAAAATGTCAGCAGAACATAAATTGTCTTTAATATTCAAAAAACAAAACTTGAGTGAATAAATATATTAAAGTATATGAAACAAAATAGATAATCCACGTGCTCCTATAAACTAACTTCAAAGACGAAGTAAAAGAACACAGCACTGCTAGGGCGTAACAGAAAAAAATTATACTACTACAAGGTAATGGATGGTTGGATTGTGCATTTCAAGCACAATAATAATTAATTTTTATGAATTCTTCAGTCTCATTTACTGCCAAGGCTCGGGAATCCTCATCCTCCCTATCTATCTATATAATTATAATTATATGCGACTCTCTAAAATACAATAATAATAATAATGAACAACAATGCAGAAGAGATCGGAAATAGAAAAAGAGTTGAGAAGAAGAGAGTGGAAAACAACGGAGAACTACACGGGTAGAGTTATGCTGCTTGCGTAATTCTCTTCTCTTTTTTTTTTTTTCTTCTATTTATCTATTAATGTAATCCTCCAGCAAATTAGGAGGTAACAATTTATAAAACATTTTTATTATTATTATTATTATTATTATTGTTCATTCGTGTTTCGTTAACTTTTTTTTAATAGATATTGAGTTTACATCTTAACTAACTCCAAATAATTTATCTCCAAGTATTACGTGATATTAGGAAACAATCAAACCTTTTTTTTTTTCTACTAAAATTAACTGAACTAAACTGAACCTCATCTATTACTATATAATACGGAGAAGAAAAATTATTTGAAAAATTCGAAAAATAACATTTCGTTTTCCCGCTTAAAAATCATGTTTTTCCCACTTAAACACTTTTTTTTCGAATTTTAAAAAAATTAAATGAGTCAATATTTATCTAACCAACAGATTCTCAAATATTGCTATTGTTATAAATCAAAGTAAATCTTCAACAGATTCTCAAATATCACGCAACTGATCACTTTGTTTGATGTGAATGTAAACCTTGATTGCGAAAATCAATTAATAAAAGGTATAGAATTTGTTTGATTGGAAAATATTGTGTTTATACTTTGGTTGAGATACGATAATGTGTGTATTTTGAAAGTAAATATCCTAAATTTATGGGAACGGACCATTAGGGTAAGGATATTTTTAGACACGTATATCTTAATAAAATCAACATTAAAATATATATTAATTATTGCAATGCTTATAAATCCAATGTGCACCAACAAAGCAACACTAGAATTATGGCCGCATACATCAATATGCACAACGATATGTATTAATCATGGGGTTTGATTACGCAAGTTTAGCATGTTCAAGAGACCAATAACGAAGCTTTATCAATTTGTAGTCACTGCCGTATGGATTTAAAGCAGTCTGATAAAGTAAGTTAGCGTGTCCAGATGACCTTCGTGTTGTACGAATGTTTGAAAAAAAAATTGATTTATTCTACAAAAACATGTTGAAAATTGTATTTAAGGACAATGAAGCATATATTCAATTTGTTCAGTATTGATACACAAATAACAATGTTTCTATCTATTATTTACTTTTCTACAATTTTTTTGTATAGAGTGGTCACATTATTGATTTGGTTTATTTGTATTTGCAAGTACAAAATCATAGAAAATATCAGTCGACAATAGCACTATAGTGAGACAGTATTCGTCGGAAGACAAATATCATAAAATACAATGGGCCAATTCCCCATTTTTTCTCTTTGATGTCATTGGCATAGTTACGGATCATTCGACATGTTCAATTTAAACATAACTTAGAGTAATCAATCATTTTTATTTTTATTTTTTTTGTTTGGTACAAATAGTAATCAATCAGTTGATTATATATTAATTTGTTTTTACTGTTATGTAAAGTTATTTTGGAGAATATTATAAATTGTATTGATAGTCATCCGAGAAGTTCATGAACTAAGCATATTATTACTTCACGAAACGCATTGCTGGTGTCAAAGTAGCCTAAATTCAAGATTTTTTTTAGGAGGTAACAATTATTTAATTTTTTAGATCAAATTATGTTTTCATTATTTTATTTAGTTATTAATTTAAACTGTCTTCTAAAACTCACGATTTTTATAGACATTAAAAACATAATTAACTTCTTGATATGTGTATGATATAAAATTTAAATTTTTCTCATGATTTTCCATACATTAGGCTACACAGGTTTCTTATTTCTTATTTCTACTAACAAATTTGAGCATTTGTCGTAGCCACCGACAATTTAATGATGAGAAATAAAAAATCATATATTTGCAATATTGTATTTGAATTGAATAATTTTTCAATATTATGAAATCCCTTTTCGATATACCTTAAAGAAATCTATAAAATTTACAAATCTATGAAAAAGATAGAGGGTTATTGTAAATTTATATTTTTTCTTAGATCTATTGAGAAACGGATGTGTTAGCAAAAAATGAAGAAAATCTAATTTTCATGGGCAACGGTACAAAAATTATAATTTTGAATGCAATAACACAAGAACCACATATGTTGGTAGAATTTCTGCAAGATCTCTCGGATTTAAGGCCTAAAACCGTGCACTTCCATCTATGAATCTTCAATTAAACCAAATTTTTCCTTCGGGAATGAGTCGATAAAACTGAGATTATGAAAAATGGAGGTTGTCGAAGAAAATATGTATATACGATTGTTTGGATTTAATTTTTGAGAGAAAAATGATGAAAAATAAAGTTTCGCATTTTCGAGAGGTAAGGAGAATGACGGTGAAAGAACGGGATGCAATACACAAACCCTAGATTCGTGAGGCTAAATTCTTTTATATGTGCACATATAGAATTTAGTATGGCGATACCTTGACAAAATTATGATCATTCGATCATAATTTAATAAAATTGGGTTGATATCTCATTACCCATTTCCATATTTTAGTCACCATTAATGGGTTTTTTTTCTTTGTCATATATTGCATCATGGTGTACGAATATGAGCTTTAACAGTACATTCAAATAGGATTCCAATAACGAAATTTTGTGAAATTTCCATACATCCAAGTTCTTAAATGCGATCAAATGTTCAGGAGGGTCAAACGATGAGTTGCATTTGATGATGGAAACTCCAATTATTTTGTTAAAATGCAAAATTTAATTACACAATGCCACACTCTATATTGTATTCCCGTGCATCGCACGGGTTATATACTATATATATATAAAAAAGTTTATATTTATCTAAAATAGTAACTTAATTCCCGCCTAAAAATTCATTTTACCTTTATTAGTAATTTTAAAAAAAATTGAAAAGTGGCGGTCATTTTTTTAAAAAAAAAATTCAAATTCATTTTAATATTTGTACAGAATTCATTTGGTCAAGTATTGCGGCTATTACCTTTATTAGTTGCATGATTTAAATTCGGTATATAATATATTGACAATTATAACTTGGACGTAAAAGGAATAGTTAATTATTTATAGTTTAATCAATTATTCCACTACTTAAATTTTTTTATTTGGATAGTTTATACAAAAATAAATTCATTTTAATTAATGAAACAATATAAAATTTATAATTATACTTATTATTCACATAAATTTTTAAATATTTAATAAAATTTTGTCAAAATATTTATATTATGGAATCACATTGTAGTAGAATCGAATTTCTGAATAAATTTTTTAAAATGACACTTTGAAATGAATATAATGCAATCTATTACTATATAATACAGTTAAGAAAAAAGATTTGAAAAACTTCAAAAAAAAAAATAATTCAGTTTCTCGCTTTTTTAATGTCATTTTCCCGCTCATTTTTTCATTTTTCACCATTAATGAAATGGTTTTTTGAATTTTTTTGGATTGTCCCACCTTAGACAATTATTTGAATTTTAAAAAAGTCAATGTGTAAAATATCCTAAGAGAATATATAATGGGATTTAGTTAGGGGAAGATAATTAGGTAAGATATAATTTGAATAAGTCCAATTATTCTCTTTCTTCTCTTTCATACGCAGGTGAAAAAAACTAAAATCTTGGGCAGAATCCTTCTCTTTCTTCTCGCTCATATGCAAGTGAAAAAAAATAGAAATCTTGGGCAAAAAATGTCGAAATTAATCATGGAGAGGGTGTTTGTCTGTGGTTGGTGATGAACTCTCGGGCTTCGCTTGGGCCTGCCATCGCGAGGGCTTTCCGGCGAGAAGCTATTGGTCGCATTGGATGCACGATGGCTGGATTTTTTTTTTTTAGTCGTGTCTGGCCGGTCTTGGTGGTTGCTGCGGCTGTGGAAACATGAGTCATTTATGGCCGCACGTGGGACGGGCTGCGGCTGTACGAGGTCATTTGTTAATTGAGCAGAGAAAAAGATCGAGTGGGGCTGGAGACGGACCAGATCTCGCGAGGATGACGATCGACCGGAGATTATTTTACTGTTGTGAAACTCGGACGATGGGTGTTGGCCGGAGATGGCAGGGCTGATGTTTCCAGTATGATGACCGACGACGGGGCTGTTGTTCCAAGGACGGGCTGAAGGTCGATGATGGCCACAAGATGCCAAGGCTGGTCGCACTCCTTCTCGGAGAAGACGACTGGAGATTCTGAGCACCGGTGAAATGGACGAACGGCGAGAAAAGATTTGTCCTGACGAGTTCAGTTTTTTCGGTCGAAATTATAGAAGTCAAGAGTTTATTTTTTATTTATTTTTTTTAACGCGTTTTGTTAGAGAAATCTGGGCACTTGTGAAGTCCATAACCGATAAAATAATAATTGGCCAAATATTGTTACTTAGGTAGATACAACTTCAAATGAATTAAATCATACCGTACCTAAGTTCACTTTAATGTATAAATCATTAGAATAATAAAAAATAAAAATTTTATAGATAACAAATAAATGTTTATCATAGCTTTTATTTAAAAATAAATTTGAATTATTATACCTTTTACTTTATATGAAATTCAAAATTACATATTTTAATATATTAATAAATATTTATTATTTATTTTTTCCTT